GAAGCACAAGAAATTTAAGCTTCTCGATATCTCTGTGATACAATGAAAAAAACATGCAAATTTAGTTGCTATCATACTGTCAATTTCTTGCTGATTCTGTTTGAGGTCTCAACTGAATTATTGTTTCAAATGAACCCAAATGTATTAATCTTATCCACAGTCAGCTTAATAATGTGGTTTCTGCAGAGCCTTAACGGAAAGTTCAAGGCCGAAGGGATGGACTACGGGCACACTAGACTGCAGCTAATTCAACAGTTCTTCCTTCCCCCTTTTGATTCAGTTTATGGAATCATACTCTAAATACAAAACAGTTCCTACTTTTCAGTCCTTTTCAGGATTCTTTTTCATTATCTGCCTAATCAAACTTATGCAGGTGCACTTGTAGTCAGCCTATCAAGGTGCACCTTCTTCAGTCAAAGGTAGTTCAACTTCAGTGGTACTGGCACTCTGGGTAGCACAAATGGACAGTCTGACCTCCTAAGTCTATGTAGGAATCCGAGGGATTTGTTCGATAACCATCACTCTCAAAACTTCCTCGCTGGAAAAGGTCTTCCTTAGTCTTGTCAACTCCTGTTTTCTAGCAGTTACCAAGCTGCATCGAACAAATGAAGTCTGGTACAAAGCTTTCTTCAGCAACTTTGTGAATGACTCAATTCCGTGATAAAGATGGGAAACATAAGTCCATTGACTGTCTAGGGGGCGAGATCCAGAAGAACACCAGGGGAAACATATCCATAGATTTACTGCAGTTCTAGCTTAAGCCTGATAGTTAGCTGTAAACTTGTTTTCTTCTGAATATTCTAAAAAGAATATGCAGTGCATATGGGAAGATAGCACCTAGCCATCTATTATCGCAACAAAACTTGCCACAACCCAACTGGTGCTCAAAACTTAAAGCTTGCCACCAGAAAGAAACATCGTCATCATGGAAAGAGATACCAAAACCTGCTTATTTAATACGGTACTGCATAGAAGTCAAAAACTGCCAGTATGCGACTTTCTAAATGTGCTGATGTACACTGATATAAACACAAACTCAATAGCTATATCCCTTCAGAAGAAAACATAAAAAAGATGTTCATGTATAAAAGATGTGCTGATGTGCTGATGTACAGAAAGTCACATCTTCTCGTTGAATCATAGTTAAATAAAATTTTCAAAAGGCCAAGGCATACTGCCTGCAGCCACCAATCATCACAATGTTCACTGCCCGCATGAAAGCCATCAACCTCAATCTACTCCTTCTCAAGAGAAAAAAAAAAGGAAAGAAAGTACAACGACCTTAATTCCCAAATTAACCATGATTTTACAGTGGAATCGACTTGTTTCCATCTTACATACTGAGGAGAACCAACTGGACAGGTACCATCAATAAATCCAACTTTCATTTTGGATTCCAACACTGTACGCATTGACCGACTCCAAACCAGGAAATTACCAACAGTTAAAGGAGCAGTAACAAGAACCATACCAGGATGATCAGAACCGTGAAGATTCAAGGTCTCTTCATAGTTTCTCTGCTCTTCCATCAGTCGATCACCAGACGAACTTTCGAGCGCCATGAGTAATCAACCAGAAAACACAAAATTGAACCGATAGGAACTAAGATCTTAGCTAGCGGAAGCTTTCTACGGTTTCGATTTGGAATATAGAACGTGAAGCTCTAAATACCATGAAGAATTGATGAGCTAGGGTTTGTAAACCAAGAACACATACTGAAGGTGTGATTTAACGCAGCAGTTGTGAAAATAGAAGCTCTTAATCCTGAGCTGTACTTCTGGTCATATATATATACAGATATAATTCCGTAGAGAGCAAGCTGCCACCTCAGCTTTTGTTATATGTATGCTAAAGAAATCAACTACTCCTATATATGTACAAATATTACACCTGTACATTCAATCAACCGAAATCTAAAATAGTATGCATCACATGTTCATCCGTATCAACAACAACCAGCTCGTTCATGTTGTGGTCTTGCTTGTCGACGTGTCCGTCAAGGTCTTCAAGGTCGACAGGTTGGAAAGCTGACTTGATTTCCTTGACCCCCCCCCCCTCAAGCTCGGGTTTGGGCTGATGAGAATCACAAACCTGAAGCTTGGACAAAAGGAATATGAACTGAGGAGAAAGTAAACACTTGGTGAAGATATTAGCGGGTTGCAGCCGAGAAGGGAGATGGTAGAGATCAAGGAATCCATCTTTATAAAGATTGCAAACCAAGTGACAGTCAATGTCAAAGTGCTTGGTTCGTTCATGAAAAGTTGGATTAGCAGCGATGTGTAAAGCAGAATTATTGTCGTAGTCAAAAGAGATTGGCAAAGAAACCAGAACCTGTAAATCTGCAAAAAGATATGAAATCCACTTGGCTTCACAAGCAGCTGATGCCATGCTACGATATTCAGCTTAACAAGAGGATTTAGAGACTGTTGTCTATTTCTTGGTTTTCCAGGAAACGAGGGAAGACCCAAGGAAGACACAGTATCCACTTAGAGAGAATCTGGTGATTGGACAAGTGCCCCAATCAGCATCAGTGAACACTGAAACAGTGAGATCAGAATGACTGGAATAGAAAACACCCAATGAAGGAGTTCCTTTGAGGTACTTGACTACATGTAGAGCAGCCTGCCAATGTACCTCCTTTGGTGTATTGACAAACTGACTAAGTTCTTGAGTAGCATAGGTGAGATCAGGGCGAGTAAATCCCAAATAGAGAAGGCGACCAACCAATCTTCTATATAGCTCAGCAAACTAATGAGGAGGACTGTCCTTGTTGTAGCGATTGAGTCCCTTTGGCAGAGGTGTGTTAACCAGTTTGCAACCCAACAACCCAGTGCTTTCAACAATATCAAGGGCATATTTCCTTTGATTGAGAATGATACCATTTGATGACCTGAAAATTTCTACACCAAAGAAGTATTTTGCAGCCCCCATATCTTTAATACTGAAAGTCTTGTGAAGAAACTGCTTAACCTCAGTAATCAGTGCAGATGAGCTACCCGTGATGAGAACATCATCCACATAAACAAGCAGAATCAGAATGGAGTCAACAGTTTGTTTAATGAACAGACAGTGGTCATGAGAAGATTGAACAAAACCAAACATCTCCAACTGCTTAGTGAATTCCTTGTTCCATTGGCGCGAAGCTTGCATTAGGCCATATAATGACCTTTTCAGAAGACAAACCTGGTTAGGTAGGGCTTTCCTGTAACCTTGGGAAGGTGTCATATAAACAGTTTCTTCAAGATAGCCATGCAGGAAGGCATTATTGATGTCTAGTTGCTGGATTGACCAATTCTTTGCTCCTGCCAAAGCAAAAACAATTCGCACAGTAACCAATTTTGCCACTGGAGAGAAAGACTCCTTATAATCTTCTTCTGAAATCTGATTATACCCTTTAGCCACCAAACGTGCCTTGTACTTGTCCACTGTACCATTAGGGTTATACTTGACTTTGTATACCCACTTACATCCCACTGCCTTCTTTCCAATTGGCAACTCTGTAAGAATCCATGTATCATTTGCTTCTAAGGCATCAATCTCTCTCTGCATTGCCTGTTGCCACTCAGGATGATGTTGTGCCTGATTATAAGAAGCAGGCTCAAGAATCTTTAAAATGTTAGCCAAAAAAGTCACATGCCCAGGATTGAGGTGTGAGGAAACATGAAAAGGAAAGGTTGTAGGTGGCAAGAACTTTGGAGAAACTACAGCACTATGAGAGACATATGTATCCATCCAATAAGGTGGTTTGGTTACCCTGGTACTATGTCTAGTAGGAAACACTGATGGTTGTGAAGAATGAGAGACAGGAGATGAAGAATTCTGAGAATGATTATAATCAGATGTAATTTCAGTAGAAGGAGAAGAGGAGATAACCTGATCTGTATCAGCATGATCAATGTTAAGATCCTGATCCCTGATGACAGGTAGAGGAACCATATCAGGAGAATTAGAAGCAGAAGGTTGCTGAAAAGGAAAGATAGTTTCCTAGAAAACTACATCCCTGGATATATAAACCTTATGATCCTCTAGGTTGTACACTTTGTACCCCTTCTGACCACTAGGATACCCTATGAACACTCCCTTAAATGCTCTTGGAGAAAACTTATCTTTATGTGGAAGAGTGTTAGTAACAAAACATTGACAACCAAACACTCTTAAATGTGAGACTTGGTGGTTTTGAAAATAGTACTTCAAATGGAGATTTCTAATTCAACAGGGCAGTAGGCAATCTGTTGATGAGATATGTTGCAACAAGGATGGAATCTCCCCAAAATTTCTTTGGAAGAGAAGATTGAAACATGATGGCCCTTGCCACTTGAAGTAAGTGTTTGTGTTTCCTCTCAACAACCCCATTTTGTTGAGGGGTGTAAACACAACTTCTTTGATGAAGAATACCTAGTTTAGAGAATAAGGATAGGCGTTCCTGATTAATGAACTCAGTTCCATTATCACTTCTAACTATTTGGACTGATTTCTGAAACTGTATGAGAATCATAGCAAAAAAACTTTCAAGATATTGGACACTTTGAGATTTGTGGTTAACCAAGTAAGTCCAAGTGGATCTACTAAAGTCATCCACAATTGTAAGAAAGTAGTGTGTCTGTGAAAGAGTTGCATGAGCATAAGGACCCCAAAGGTCAACATGAATTAATTCAAAAATAGATTTAGAATGAATTGAACTAACAGGAAAAACAACTCTTTGCTGTTTAGCTAGTGGACAGATTTCACAATTGTCAATCTGCCTAGAACAATCAATGGAAGAATCTGAAATGTGATTGAGTACATTATTTGATGGATGTCCTAACCTAGAATGCCACTGAGCACTCAGAGCTACATTATCGAAGGTTGAACTATCCATGTAAAATTGGGAACTAATTTCTGAATGAAGGAACAAACGAGGCAAATGTCTCTCAATTTGTTCTCTGATATAAAAAGGATTGAAAGAGTGCTTAGTGAGAGCATAAAGACCCTTGATCACCATGCCAATTCTAAGAATCTTATCAGTCGCTAGGTCCTGTAAGATGCACAAATCAGCCAAAAAAGAGAAGTAAATTTTCTCTGTTTGAGCCAATTTTCTTACTGAAATGAGATTATATTTAAAAGAAGGCACAAATAAGGCATCCTTCAAAACAAGTCTGGGATTCAAAGGAATGTTTCCTACTTGTTCTACATATTGCAAAGTTCCGTCTGGCAGACTGATGGGTGTAATTGAAGTAACTGATTTTGGATTAATAAACACAGAGAGATTGTGACACATGTGACCTGTGGCTCCACTATCAAAGAAACTATAATCATCACTGAGTTCAACACACAGATTAAGAGTTGAATAAGTAGTGCTACCTGCAAAATCACTGATATGGGCAAAATTGACCTGGTTGTGCTCCTGATTAAGTGGTTGCTTCCCTTTGCTGTACTTGTTGAATTCCTGCTGCAAGAAGTTCAGCTGCTGAGCCATTGCATTCCAGTTAAGACCACCAGGCTGAAAAGCAGGCACAGGATTCCAGCTATTGCTCACATTGTCAATCATCTCCAAGGGTGTATCCTTTTCTGCCAAATTACCAAAGTTTCTCTGTATATTGTTCTATCCCACATTAGTTTTTCTGTCTTTCATGGAATCAGGGAAACCAATTATCTGGAAACAATTTTCTTCTCATGTCCAGGCCTAAGACAATGAGTACACCACTTCTCATTGTAAGACTTCTTCTTTGAATTCTTGTTACCTTGTCCATTCCTTTTCCCTGGAACATTTTGGTTTTTGCTATACAGGGCTGAATTCTCAACCTGACTTCCTGAACCACCCTGAACACCAACATTATTTAAAGAATTGAAACTCCCGCTAAAACTCTGTGGATTGATCTGAACATTTCCTTGAGCAATGAAAGCAGTTGTTTCATTCATTTGAGCAATGAAAGCAGTTGGATTGATCTTCTTACTTGCCTTTAGTAACATGTTTAAGGCTTTACTCACTGTTGGAGATGGCTCAAGCAGCAAGATCTGATCCTTCATTGACTCATAACTGCTATTGAGACCCATAAGGAAGTCAATTAACTTGTCTTCCTCATCCCTTGCCTTTAAAACCTTAACAGCAGCCAGAGAACAACCCTCTGGAATAGGCCTATAGTGAGAAAACTCTTCCCAAACTCTCTTCAGCATACTATGATATTTGACCAAGGAATTATCCCCTTGCACAATTCCTAAACGATTCTTCCTGAGTTCATACAACAAATTGTTGTTTGGCGTCCCGTACTCTTCTGCCAATTGATCCCAGAGTTCTTGGGTAGTCATCTCATACATATAACCAGCCGCTATATCTGGACTCATTGCAGCAATTAACCATGATTTTACAGTGGAATCAACTCGTTTCCATCTTACATACTAAGGAGAACCAACTGGAGGACTTGGACAGGTACCATCAATAAATCCAACTTTCATTTTGGATTCCAACACTGTACGCATTGACCGACTCCAAACCAGGAAATTACCAATAGTTAAAGGAGCAGTAACAAGACCCATACCAGGATGATCAGAACCGTGAAGATTCAAGGTCTCTTCATAGTTTCTTTGCTCTTCCGTCAGTCGATCACCAGACGAACTTTCGGGCGCCATGAGTAATCAACCAGAAAACACAAAATTGAACCGATAGGAACTAAGATCTTAGCTGGCGGAAGCTTTCTACGGTTCCGATTTGGAATATAGAACCTGAAGCTCTAAATACCATGAAGAATTGATAAGCTAGGGTTTGTAAACCAAGAACACATACTGAAGGTGTGATTTAACGCAGCAGTTGTGAAAATAGAAACTCTTAATCCTGAGCTGTACTTCTGGTCGTATATATACAGATATAATTCCGTGGAGAGCAAGCTGTCACCTCAGCTTTTGTTATATGTATGCTAAAGAAATCAACTACTCCTATATATGTACAAATATTACACCTGTACATTCAATCAACCGAAATCTAAAATGGTATGCATCACGTGTTCATCTGTATCAACAACAACCAGCTCATTCATGTTGTGGTCCTGCTTGTCGACGTGTCCGTCAAGGTCTTCAAGATCGATAGGTTGGAAAGCTGACTTGATTTCCTTGAAACATGGTAGCGAGCTGTATCAGGTCCGTGAAAGTAATGTCTCTGGTGTCAGCTCCGAAATAGCCTTCACATCATTAGCATTTGTGTGATCCCAGCACTGGACAGTATTGAATTACGGAACCTCCATTCTCATGCCAATTACCCTTTCCGTGGCAGTGTCAGATCAATACCGTAGAACCATGGTCATTGAAAGACCAGGCAATGGGCTCATTTTCCCAACTAATATAGATAAAGTCATCCAGCTCCAATAATTGCCCTTACATCTCTGATAGGTAAGATAAAATCCCTTGGAGCTCGCTACGGTGGGTGAAGTATCATACGAAAGAGTACCGTGTTGAGCTCGCTCCAATAACTTGCATAACAAATGGTTATCATCTGGTTATTCTGACCTCAGTTGAGAAATAAAAGGTTGATGCCATTAGAAACAAGAAACTAGAGATGTAATCTAGAATAAATGTGAAATCTAAGCTTTAACTTTGGATGTACGTAATTTATCTCACAAGTATGCATCATAGTTCTTTCTTTTTTTAAAAAAAAAAAAAAAAAAGTACACTTAGTGTTCTCACAATTGCAAAAGTTTGCAAAAGGAAGATAGAGTAATCAATGAGATATCCATCACAGGTTATAACTGTACTATGTTGGAATGGAGCCTGAAAGATCTAGAAGTTGATTACCAACCGCAATTCATTTTTCATATCATTAACGAGTGATTATTATTACTATTGGTGATCCAAATTACTCAAAGGAGTAGCAGACAAGTACATCATCATAACAAAGAACTCCACGCCACTGGCAGCATACGATTTTGCAGTTGCTTCTAATTCTTCAATGCTGCCAGAGGTTACAAGAACTTCAGTGGTTGTGAAACATTCACACAAGCCTTTTCAACTGCTGCACCGAGGGCTACCTGGAAAAGTAAAAGGAAAATAGAGTATCATTAATCAATTACATTCGTAAACACAATAGCCTTTTCAAACTCCAGGAAACACAGATATTATAGATGACATGGAAGAACAACAATAATTAGATAGGGGACACAATACTGTTATTGTGATATTTGTTTTGCAACACCAAGATTCTAAAACAGCATCATTTCCCATTAACAATCATGGAAGCTTGCACTTCAGTCTAATTCTACAGCAAATGGCTTTTCTAAGTCAAACTATAGCAATGAGGATTATGGAGGTAACTTCAAGTCAATTTAACCAACACAAGTAATAGATGCAAGGGACTGACATTATAACCCATATATAAACGTTACTTCAAAATTTGTTAGATTGACTAACCCTCTTCTTTCCCTCCAATCGAATGGTGAGTTACATGCATATACAGCATCAAGTGGCCCAGCTTCAAGAGCTTCAACCCTTACTGCATTCAGTTCAGGTTCAGAATTTTAAGAACTTGTTCACGGCTACTACAACATTGACACCATATGCGTTTCTGCTTGAAACATGCCTGGCGTTCACACAGCCAGCTTCACCAAGAGACTCATTCTCAGCTACAGCATGAATACCGTGCATTCTGGGAACACTGATAGTGATCAGCACACAGGTTTTAACCCACAATATCTGCATTTTATCTCCAAAAACTTTCCATTAACGAGATCAGCACAAAATCCTGCTTTTGTAGTCCAATGCCAGCAGGTCCCACAGCTTAATGCAATCTTATCAGCAAATAGGAATGGATTTCCATGAGCATTATTAGCCAAAAGACCAGCATTAACCAAGAAGGGGTGCCTTCAAGAGTCTGCATCAGCGTAGGATAATTTTATCTTTCATAATTAAACCACCTTCAACAGTAAGATCATCAGCGGTATGATCACCAGCCTCGCTACGTCCAACAACCATTTTACCAAGCAGCTTTCTCATATCAGTGAGTAAAGTTGTCTAGCCATACCTTTCACTAGCAGATATAGCAACTCCTGTTTCTCTAAGCATACCTTTTTCTTCAGTGACCTGGCCAATACTAATTTTCCTTCGGATCAATATCCACAGCACTACTCCATATTATAGAATTTACAGCATTCTCAAGCCTCGCAAATCTCTTTATTTCTTGTTGAGTTAGCACCTATGGTCTTGTATAGTAAATGTCAAGTTTCTTCACACGCATACACATAATGTCACTGAAGCTCCTCTTTCCTTATTGATTAGAAGGGATCAAAGGATTGAAATGACCTTTATTGGTTCTGGAGGATTCGTGGAAGATTCATGTATCAATGGCAGGAACAAAGGTCATTTGATGCTGCTATCACATGAATGTCACCAGTTAAGTGAAGATTGAACTCATCCACAGAAATCATTTGATGCTGCAGCAACTTTTATTAAGCATCAGTAGAGATGAGAAAAGTTTGAGCAGTCAGGGAATAATGCAGAAGCAACTCCTGGTCATTACTTAATGAAGGGCGCACACACATTTGATTCGGTAAAAGGTTAAACATGCACAGTTGAACACATTTTATTCCAGTTGAAAATCCAGGGTTTATTACATATGTAAGGTCAAATCGTCCTAGGAATAAACGTTTGTATCAAAGTTGAACTTGCTCTCAAGAAATATAAAGTTTTTTCGATCGAGAGACAATCTCTTCAGAGCTTTACTTACTAGACCAGAAAAAAGTGCAATCATAGCATCATGCCATTTATAGAAGCATTGCATAACATGGAAGTAATTCCTCTGCTTAGTTACTTTATTTCAAGCTTTACTCCAAGAATCAGATCATCATTGTGTCAAAGCTTCAAACTGACCTTGTTAAAGATAGTCATCATGAAGAGGAGATCATCAAGAAGAGGAATGCTTGTTTATCTTATGAGTTAGGAATATAGCTAAGGGTTAGAATGATAAATATTGAGTAGTTGATAACTTTAGTCTTTTTATTATTATCTGTAGTGAAAATATGTTAATTATCATATGTAGAAGGCCTATAAATATGGCTTCTATCTCAGTCTTTAAATTTGGTCAGTCACAATGTAGCCATTCAATCCATCTCTCATTTATTTTTTTATTGTTCTTCAAATACTCATTTTCTTCTTGGTATCAGAGCAGGTTCTTTCCTTCTTCTGCGTACTTTTTCTTTACCATAAAAAAAATAAATCATGATTTCTTTGCTTCCGCTCACTATAATTGTGCCATGTTACTTCAAATTCATACTTAAATCACTATTTTATTTTCCTTCTCCACTACTAATTCTATACTCCAATTCGATTCTCCCAAAATTATCCACAATCCCCACAACTTTGTCACAAATCAATCCATTTAACTACAAATTTTTATTTTTATTTATTTATTTTTTTCCTTTCACAAATCAAATTTAGTTGATCCACAAATTTCAGACAAAGAGGAAAGGCACCTTTGAGTCACTCTACAAAATTTCCATTATGACAAAAGTCAGATTCTCTCCAAGAAAAAAAAAGTTTTGACTTGTCATACACCAATCTAACATTTACAAAAATTTCCCATATGGCAAAAGTCACCCTCTCTCAAAAGAAGAGTATTGACTTGTCATACATCAATCTTACCAAGCAACAAAATTTCAAGCAGTCCAAAACATGGCAAAAGTCACTCAATGCAAAGGATCGATGGTCTACAAGTTTTTCGCTATTCCTGTTCCGAAAGATGAGAAAACTGTCGACACAATCCAAGCAAACTGAGTCTCCAACTCTAACTCAGTTTGAGGGAGGATATTAAAGACAATCATCAAGTAGTTGAGTTAGGATCCATTTTAGCGATAGGAATCTACTTTAGTGATAGACTTAATTTATTAATTATTAAAAATAATTTTTATCATCAAGAGTAGTTTTTATCCAGTAGTGTAGACTGCCGATAAATATGCTGTCTACTCTTTATTTTGTAATCAAGCCAGTCACAATGTAGTCTTCAATATTATTCCACATTCTTCTCTCTTTTATCTATGTTTTTGGAATTCTTATTTTCTTCATGGTATCAGAGCAGGTTCGGCCCTGTTTCTGTGCCATGCTTCCGCTTATTTTTTCTTTCAAGAAATAAACCATTAATCTTCTATTTGCATCTATGTTCTATATCCTTTGATATCCCAAACCAATCAAGATTACTGACTCCTCGTCAAAATTACTCCCTATCACCACCATGACCACTGCCAAAAATCATTACCCAGCCTCGTTTTAGATTCACTCAACGCCAGTCTCGGACAATATAAACAATCAACTTACCATCAATCACTACCCCTTCTTGTCAAATACAAGTATCGTGTCGATCCAAAAATTATGTGGTTGACAAAACAAAAAAAAAATGTAGATGACAAAGAGAAAATATCTCTATCTACAAAAATCCACATCATGACAAACGTTTGATCTCTTCTCAGAAGAAGAGGTTGGACTTGTCATGCAACAATCTAACGCAACAGTGAGAATCGATACATCTCGTTTCTCAACAATTTCTAACAATCAAAAAATTTGAGCACTCCACTAAAAAACACACATTACATCACTTGCATTTTCACTATTCATATATCAGGAATAGCAGTCCAACGCGTGGTCAGAATCACTCAAGAAACAAACTGAGTCTCCAACCCCGACTCAGTTTGAGGGAGGATGTTAAAGATAATCATCATGAAGAGGAGATCATCAAGAAGAGGAATGCTTGTTTACCTTATAAGTTAGGGATATAGCTAAGGGTTGGAATGATAAATATTGAGTAGTTGATAACTTTAGTCTTTTTATTATTATCTATAGTGAAAATATGTTAATTATCATGTGTAGAAGACCTATAAATATGACTTCTATCTTAATCTTTATATTTGGTCAGTCACAATGCAGCCATTCAATCCATCTCTCATTCATTTTTTTTATTGTTCTTCAAATATTTATTTTCTTCTCACTTTACACCCTTAAAATGAAAATTTCATCAGCCTATAGGAACAGAGGCAAGTCATTTCTGCATATCATCTTTATCATTACAAAAACTAGAAATCTAAGCCAATATCAAGTTCAATTACCCTCTCCCTTCAATCGCTGCCACATTAGCAAACCGAGAAAATTAAACATGAAAAGCTACGCCATGGAGCACAAGAAACTACTGATTATATATTCGTATGCAAAAATATGCAAAATTTACAAAATAATAATACCTACTTATCAAGAAACGCTCCCAATGCCTGAGATAGACCAACAGTTGTGGTAGTCTTTCTCCAAAAAGGGCTGGAGAGTAATCCCTCCAATATTTTCACACATTAACCATCCACACTTCCTAGTTAGAACCGACAACAAAACCTACAATACTCACAAAATCAAGATGACATTTTTTTCCAACCCCAAAAGAAAGGCTTAGCCAATTGGCTAAGTTTTGTATACAGTCCAAGACTCGGGCATCAAAATCTAACATAGACAAAACAGAAATTGCATATTCATCAAGATTCACTCCTACATAATTCATCGCCATGTAGTATGTTTGTTTTTATCTGGGCTTTTATGCTTTTTGTGGAGATGACATAATAAACAAAAGGGAGTTCAGTAATGGAGATGCGGGGTATCGATCCCCGTACCTCTCGCATGCTAAGCGAGCGCTCTACCATCTGAGCTACATCCCCGGTTTGTTTACTGTTCAACTCATACTAATATAAATTCTCTACTTTTTGTTTTTCCACTTGAGGGGGTAATTGAATTGAAAGCATGAATAACAAAATCAAAGTCAGGGTGCTAAATTCTCGACGTACTTGTGAGTTGACACTTACACAAATCTTTTTTTTATTTTCCAGTAAAACACATTGAACAACTCTCTGAATTGATTCTGTTTAGAATCTTCCTAAAAAAACACACACATAAATCTCAATGTTATTATTTGATGTATTTTTTCGATTCTCGATAACAGTTCATGAAATTAATCCACAACAATGTTTGGAGATGTTTGCAAAGGTGAAATTTATGATATGTAATCAAAACGGGCCCTTCTCAATTTATTAAGCAGCTAGAAGTAGGTAACGAGTGTAAGAGTTAAGCTAAAAAATCACCGTGAGTAACTATATCATTGCGGTCGCAAATGAATGTACACACTCAGAAATAACCATTTGCTACTAGAGTGGAGTTTAATTACTTAAACATACTCCTTCTAGTTTTTATCATAAGATTTTATTTTTTTTTAAATCTTCTCCTGGTTCTACTTAGAAGTTAGAAGACATTTGAAGTTTTAAGATTTTGTTTATACTGTATTTTTAATTTTACCCCAACTTAAATTGATTCAATTTTCATTTGATTGATTTTTACAAGTGTGGAATTTTTAACATAGTTAATATGGGCGTTTCACCAAAAATAACTAATTTAATTACTTTCATTAATTTTTAATTAGTTATTTGGAGGGAATATATACTGAAACAACTAAGCTTGTACTATAAATTGCAACTCAAAAAGTTTCTTACCTGCAGCAACCGAGCGCGACAAGTAGAACAACAAGAAGACCACGTAGAACACCTCCCATGTATCATAGAACAAGTAGGATAGCACTTCTTAGTCCTTGCAGTATTTTCCAATTGCTAATGAATCATATTTAGATTATAGTGCTGCTCTTTAGTAACGAAGTAGCTAATTGTTCTAGGTTACTGTTATTGTCTTTCCTAGCTTATTGATACCGTGTACAGAAGTCCATGTAGTTCAATTTCAAAACTAATCTGCAATGAGGGAAGTAGCTCATGCATTTTTATGTTGATATGCTCATGTATTTTTGTATTGATATTCAGTCTCTCCTAGATTCAATGTGGGACTGTGATTCTCAATACTCTTCCACAAGCCCAATGTATTTTTTGGGTTGGGCTTGACCTATTTTTTTCTGCCCAGACACTGCATCACGTCTTAGCCCTATTTTTTTATTGGACTTTTTCATGTCC